GATTTTGAACTAAGTAGTGCTAGAGGGCAATTATATCCTTAATCCTTAAAATATTTTTAAATATATTTTTAGTTTTATACTAGCTTCTTTACAAAATTTGAATACATTGTTTTCCAGACCAGATTCCTACAATTTCCCCTCCCTCCACCACCCATCAAATTGTATGACCCCAAGATTAATCCCCCCTCCCCCTGCACATCCTCATCCCTCTGCTTCTGCCCTTCCCCTCACCTTGGATCCTCATACTTACTCTACAATAATGTTTTATACAATATTTGTCCTTGTGGGACCGAATTAGTTCACTCGGCATAATGCTCTCCAGTCCCTCCCAAGTTAGGTAATAATTTACAAAGGTATTGTTCCTGCGTGCTACATAGTATTCCATTGTGTGAATGTACCATGATTTCTCAATCCATTCGATTGTGGTTGGTGTACATTTTATCTTGCCTGTCTGCTTACATATCTGCATGTAGGTTGATATTAATTCTGATATTGCAATATATTATGTGTGGCTGTGTTTATTACTGTTGGATGTATTTTTATTTATATCCTGTAACACTTGCTCCTACCTGCTGCATGTATTCATGTCCATGATTTTATCCATTCCACTCCAGACTGTGAACTCCTGGGAACAAAAGAACACAGGGGGATTGTTAGCACATACCTGGGACCTAAAACAGCCTAGCATTTGGGTAAATACTAGTGCACAGTTGCTGAATGAAGAAATGATAGCGATTCCTATTTCCTTCCCTCTCCCGAGCAGCTGGGATTCTGTAGATATATCCTAATAATAGGGAACAAGTCAGAAGCAGAAGGATGACCAGAATGGCCTCTTGGTGACTATTGTCTGCCTCAATTGTTCCAACAAATCCCAGGGGGCACCACCCACAGGTGAGGATCTCGCCCTCTGCTGGTCAGTGCTAGTAGCACTGCATGTCTACACAGGCAAACTCATCACAAAACCCTCACCTTCTTCAGCTATTCTCAAGGAAACCAGTGCTTTGGACCTGGGTTGGAGGGGGAAAAAGAAGTAGGCCCCACGTGCTGAGGGGGACTTTGGAAACCTCCAATGCCTTCACTGATTCTGAGATGTCCTTCTCATTCTGGAAGCTGCTATCCCACATTCAGAGTTCAACATCCCTACCCTAAGAGAACACCAAGGCTCCAACAGGGATAGGATCTGACCTTGCACTTGGACTGGTCACCCAATGTTGTATCCTACTCTGCCCAACCCTGAATCTCCATAGGTAAAACCCCGAATCTTCTTGCTGGGAGAATATTTAACTCCAGGGACTAGAAAGCATTTTTAAGGGACTTAGAGTCTAGTGGGACACCGACAGAGAATAAATCCATCAGATTCTTCCCTAAGCCTCTAGAACTCATGGGGTCATCCAAGTCTAGAACAGAGGATGCAACTGAAGTTCTCTTTCCTTTACCCAGAAGGGTGCTGCTCCTAGCGCCAGGGGCCCAGATCACTGAGCAGGACTATGTCTAGGTTGCCTTGTTGTTGTTATGTGCTATCAAGTCGCAACTCATAGTGACCCTACGTATAACAGTCCTATACCCCACTCTATCCTGTGCCAATCTTATTGTCTCTGACATACCTACTCCCATTACCCCAGTCGCTGAATCAATCCATCTCATCAAGGGTCTTCCTCTCTTGTGCTGTCCGTCTACCCTCTCCAAGGGCACAACAGAAAAAAGAAAGAAAAAAACAAACCAGCAAACAAACAAAAAACCCACAGGGAAAATCATGCTTAACATTTCTCAAAGTGAAAGAAATGAACAAACTAGAGCTTCGAGTCGCAGTACTAAAGGTATCTATAGGCAAAATGTCAAATGATGTAGGAAGAGATACACAAGAGTCACTAGGCTAAAAATAAAAAGACTTGGTCACCGTTGGACCATTTCAAGAAGTAGAATATGACCAAGAAGTTCCAGGTACACTGAAAATATTGCCAATAACAGGCCACAGTAATTGAAAAATACTGAGGTGTTTCAACAAACACATGAAGTCCTAGACATGCTCACTGATTTGTGCCAAGAAGATATGGCCAGTCAACTAAGAAGTGCTCCTTATTTAGTCCCATTCCAAGACAAGGTGATCCAACAGAGTGTAGAAATTAATATTAACAATCACGTGCAAGTTAAATCTTGCTGAAGACTTATTTAAAAATAGCTGGAGCAGTGAATCGATAGAGAACTGCCAGAAACTCAAGCTGGATTCAGAAAAGAGCCATGGAACAATAAGTATCATTTCTGATGCCAAATGGATCTTGGCTGAAAGTCGAGGTTTCCAGAAAGATGTTTACTACTTTTATTGACTATCCAAAGGCATTTGGCTATGTTGATCATAAGACATTGTGGATAAGATTGAGAAGACTGGGAGTCACAGAACACTTAATTGTGCTCATGTAAAACCTAGACATAGACCAAGAAGCAGCTGTCCAAAGTGAGCAAAGGGACACTACATGGTTTAAGCTTAGTAAAGGTGTGGGTCAAGATTGACCACACCTATTCTGCCTGTGTGCTGAGCAACCAAGAATGTGCACTCTTATCAAGAAGAATGTGGCATCAAGAGGAAGACCCATCAACAACCTATGTTATGCAGATGATACAACCTTGCTCAGAGAAAGCCAAGAAGATATGAAGTACATTTAACTACCGTATATATTAACTTCAATATGGACTACCTATCAAGAAAACAAGCCTCAACAGGACCAATAGGCAGAATGATGATAAATTGAAAAAAAGATTAAAGTCATGATGATTTCATCTAAACCTCCATGGTTGGAGCAATCAAGAAGTTGAGACATGTTACATTAGGAAATCTTGCAGAGTTCTCTTCAAAGTTCTAAGAGGAAAACGCCAGTTTAAAGACTAAAATTTTCAATTTAAAGTCATAGTATTTTGTGTCTGTATGTTGGGCAGTGGAATAGGAAAACAAAGAATTGATGTCTTCAAGTAAGCCAGGAATGATGAGGATGGCACAGGATAGGACAAGGTTCAGATCTCTTATTCACTATGAGTTGTACTTGAGTTAAAGGCCTCTAACAGTCTTGGACAGAGGGCACTCTTTATGATGAGGAATGTGGCATCAGAATTAGATGAAGACTCACCAGCAGCCTACATTATGCAGATGATACAATCTTGCTTGCTGTAGGCTGGGTCAGCTGTAGGTTGGGTCTAACTCGACAGCACACAACAACAATGAAAAACAAAGGGAGTTCTTGTAGTCTAGTGGTAAAAGAGTCGTGATGTCAACCCCAAAGTACAGGGTTTGAACCACCAGCTGCTCCACAGGAAAAGATGGGCAATTTCCCGTGCCTCCAGAAACCCACTGGAGGGTCAGCTACAAGTTGGTTCTGACTTGGCTGGCACATAACAATAACAACATGGAAAAAATATGCTCCAACAAATCTGAATTAGAGAAAATCGAACTTTCAGAAACCCATTGCCTCATAAATACAAAGGGCAAAACCTTACCTAGGCTTATGACAAAACAAAAAATTGAGCAGGTCATAAAAACACTTCCAACCAAAAACTTCCTGGCCTAGGCAGTTTCAACAATTAATTCTGCCAAAACTTAAAGAAGGGCTGGGACCAATTTTACAGGAACTATTTCAGAATATGGAAAAGTATAGAATTCTTTCAAATTCTTGACCCTGATACCAAAGTCTGGCAAAGATGCTGCTAAAGAATGCAATAATTTTTAAAAGTTTTTAAAAAAGTTACTCAAGAATACAATTTAATCAATGCCTTCATAAAAATATATGTAAAAAGTAACAAAATCCTAACCAATAGAACCCAACATCATATCCAAAATATGATCAAGTGATTCATATTAGTATTTAAGGATGATTCAACAAAAGATCAGTGTAAGCCACCACAACAATAAAACAAAGGAAAAGAACCACATGATTATCTTCATGCAGACCCACATGATTATCTTAATTAATGCAGACATTTCCTCATAAGTGCACTCACGAAAAGATGAATAAAAGGAAATTCTCCAATATAATTAGAAGCAAAACCAGTGGAGAGAGAATGACATGACGGTATATTGCTTTGTTATGGGGACCCAATAAGGCCCTTTATCACTATTATTCAGTACTATTTTGAAGTCTTAGGCAAAGCAACAAACCAAGAAAAGGAACTAAAAGGCATCTAAATTGGCAAAAATTACAAACTCTACTTGCAGACGCTTTCATTTTATAGGAAAATCCCAATGACTTATCAGAAATTGCTGTACTTTTCTCTAATAATAACCTGATTGGGTCATTGTGCAGATCCAGGCGGTTTTGTGTGTAAAGGCAATTAATTCAATGTACAGAGTAAGCACCCCAAAATTGAGAAGTTGTTCAGTTAGAGCCCTGAAAGAATGTAAAAACAAATTACGACCTCTTCCTGCTGTATCTCATCTCTTTGGCCAGTATTTGCCCATCAAGTTAACTCAGCTGATCTTCCAGCGGGTTTTCTGAAGCTGTCAATCACTGCAATCACTGGGGAGGCGATTGCCCATCTTTCTCCCTGGGAGCGGGTGGTGGACTCGAACAGATAGGCGCCGCCTTTGGGTGTGCAACGCAACTCCTTAAGTAAGACGCCACCAGAATTATGGCTATAAAGTTTCCTGACCAAAAAAACCACTCCTGACCAGGAAGCAAGCAACTCAGTGGCCTCTCAAAGCACCTAGGACTACATTTCCCAGAGAGCATTGCGGCTGCATTTGCGCCTTTGAAAGAGTTTACGTTCTCGGACAGTAACTTCCGGGTTGTGTGGGCGGGGCTAGCGGACTCTTCCAATGAGCGCAGGCGTAGCCTGAGGGGGCGTGGAAAGAATCCTGTGAGCGCCAGGGCCGAGGGGCAATAGGCGGAAAGGTGGCGTTGCTGCCACTGGACTGGCCTGGGTGGATCCCGGATCAACTGGTGTCGCTTCTCCCTGGCGCATTCCTTACTCCTCCCACTACCTGCTGACCTCGCTTTCATGTACCTGTTGAGCTCATGGCCGCTAGCCTAAGGGGGCCCTCGCTCACCTCCCCTTCTTCCACCTTGAGCTGTGACACTGACGACGATGGCGTGCGCGGCACCTGCGAGGACGCGTCCCTGTGCAAGAGGTACCTGTCCAGTGGGTGCGGTGGCTGGGAGGCGGCGTCTGCACGGATTCATCGCAACCCTGCGGGATCCCGCGCCATCCTCATTGTTGCACTCGCTGGCTCCGTCTGTCTCGTGGAGTGTCTTGTCTTTGGCTGACCCTCTCTTTCTAGAAGCATGATGGTTTTTCTCCAGGCTCCTTCTGATCACATTCCCAAAGTATATATGACCCGATATCCCAGTAGCTGACATCCTGGGAGCGCTCTGGCTGCACTTCTCCCGAGGTTGGGGAGGAGGCCCGCCTGTTCAAGGAAACTGTCACACTCGAAAGATGCTGCCCGGGTCAGCTCGTCCGATCCTTGCTTCCACCTGTGCAGTCCTATAAGAGGAGTTCATTTATTTAATCAGGAATGGCTGTGGATCTCCTGCAGTGTGCCAGGCACAGTCTAAGCCCTGGACATTCGGTGATGGAGGGTGCTTCGCTGAAGCTGGTAGACGAGCTCTCAGCCTTTATGGAGCTAAAGTCTTGCTGGAGACGCCGGCATGAGACAACTGATAGCTGCATTCATCTTTTAATTTTAGCAAATATAGGTACCTGTTCCCATTTCACAGTTTCTGGACTGAATTATTTCTTAACATTCTGTCGACATTCTAGTTATGTCTGTTCTATTTGTTTCCTTTCCCTTTATGTAATCTGTCCTCCGCCTCATTTCTACTTTAAATAGCTTTTGACTCTATTTGCTATCTTGATTTTTATATGTCTATGCATTTAAAAAAAAAATCTGAAGAAACTGTTAAAGGGTGACAGTCTTTGCATTTTGGACTAAACTGTTAGGTTCTTTGCTATCCCCTGGGCAGTTTCAGTTCAAGGTCTGAACCCCAGCCTTGGACATACCTCTAGCTTCAGTAGATCCAATCTCATTGGAACCGACTCAGAGCAAAACAGACCCCCTAAGAGGTCTGCAGAGGACAATCATACATCTTGTGTTCTAATTGACTCGAACTACCAACTTTTGAGTTGATAGCACAACTGCGTAGTTCCACATGTTCTCCCTTCTTGTCTGGATTTATCTGTTGTGTTCCTGATAAGAACTTAGAGGAGTAGTGGCCCAGGGCGCCATCTAATTTTGCTCACAGGTGGAGGTGGCCATGATTCATAGGGACAATCAGACAATCAGTTCCTACCCTGATTCTTGGATTTCCTCCTTTCACCATCGTTTCAGTCCAGTAAAGATCAACAGTTGTACCTTAGTCAGCTGCTCATAAGCTTTTAAGATCCCAGACACCATACATAAACTTTTTAAGATTCTAGACACATATGAACTTGCGGGACTGAGTTATGCCAGTTGACTATATTGTCCCATGAGAGCACAATAAAAACCACTCAAACTGAGAGGACTGAATTCATTATGTCTAATTAGTATCAGCATCTGGTAGACTACCTCCCTTTTTGCTGGTGGTGGCTATTGATGCAAAACTAGGCATAAACTAAATTTTACCAGTTCTCTTCTGCATGTGCAGTTTATTGATACCAATTGCATCAGTCATGCTATGCACACTTTACCCAGACTCACTGCTACCTTCGCCATTTCTACAAACAAAAAGTGTCGACTACCTACAGCCCTTCCTCACCTCCCCACTTGGCAATTATGAATGAGCATTCGTTTCTTTTTACTTAGTCACCATTTCATCTAAAGTCAAGACGTTCTTGTGTGTCTGTGTGTTTAGTTATTTCAATACACATAATGCCCCTTGGAGATCACCCACATTGTCAGATGTTTCGGCAACTCACTTTTTTCTTAGTCGCTAAATAGTATCCCACTGTATGTAGGCGGGGCATTTAACTTGGACACTCCTCTGTTGATGGACACATAGTTACAGCCATCCCTTTGCCAGTGGTGAATAGTGCAGCAGCGAGCATAGGCGTACACTTGGCCATGCCTCTTGTATTTGTTCCCTAAGGTGTGTACCTAGGAGTGGAATTGCTAGATCATGGGTTGGCTCTCGCTTTGTTTTTTTGGGGTTTTTTGCCTGATTGTTTTCCACGTGACTGTACCGTTTTGTATTCCGACCAGCAGTGGATCAACCACTGTGTCATCAGTCCATGTCATTGAGTCGTTAATGCTTTTTGCTGACCTTCTATTTTATGAAGCACAATGCCCTCCTCTAGAACTGATGACATGGCCAGAGTATCTGAGACAGAGTCTTACTGGGATCTTGGACCCTGTCACTTTGTTGACCTCAAGGGAAGATGGGAGGGCCAGGGGAACACTTGCCAGGCCCAAGATGGTTGGGTGGATGGGTGGTAGGTAGTGAGAGGTGGGTAGATCGTCTCTCTCCTGATTTCTAGAGGGCAGGGAACACAGTCATACCTTTTTTCACTTGCAGCCAGCTGCTGACATCAGCCAGTTACTGTTGCAGTCCTGAGTTCGCAAGTCAACCAGACCACTGTTAAAAGTAGTCACGCTGGGATGGTTTATCATCTGTCTCTTTACTGGATGCCATCTTTGCTTTCCTTCAGTTGGCCTTTTAACTACTTCTTTATCTTTTCTTTTAAAACTCAGGATTCCAGAATTATCATCTGTTATTTTTATTTTCTAATGCTCTGGTGGTGCAGAGCTTTACTGCCAATCCAAAGGCACATGGTTCAAAGTCACCAGCTGCTCCTGGGAGACAAAAGGGCAGTTTGTAGCCTCTGAAAACCCAGTGGAGAGTCAGCTGTGAGTCAGTTCTAACTCGATGGTATATAACAACAACAACAATAATGCCTTAGTTAAAGAGAGTTTAGATCGCCATGTCTCTTATCCACTGTCTTCTCCAGAAGTTCATCTGTTTTGCTACTGTTAAAAAAAAAAAAAGAAGTCATCTGTCATCACCTTTTAAAGAAGAATATTTTGTTGTGTCTTTGATGAAACTTAACTTCCCTTTTGAAAATTTCCACACAAATTATCCAGTGATTAGTTATATTTTTCAGTGTGGCAACATTCACTTTAATTGTATTTTAGTTGCCCCATTTGGGTTTGGTTTTTTTTTTTGTCTTGTTATTATTAAATAATAATAACCTTTTATTATTTTTGTCTTCTCTCACTTGTTTACTGCTGTATCCCAGTATCTAGCACATAGTAGGGACTAAAGAACCTCCTGGGGGCACAGTCTGTAGGATAGTTGTGTCGCTAACCTGAAGGCAGCCAGTTTGAATCTAACGGCAGCTCTGCAGGAAAAGACAGTCTGCTGTCATGAGATTTACTGCCTCTGAAAACCCACTGGAGGGTTAGCTTTGTGTCAGCTCCAAATCGACGCCAGTGAGTTTCTTAAACCAGTATTATTGAATTGATGTGAAATGCCGTTACGAGGAACAGAGCATGCTGTTCATAACCCCAGAAGCCAGTAAGGAATCCAAAAGGAAGCATGTGGCACATTGGTCAGCTCCCCCAGGTTTGCTTCCACTGGTGTGAGTGAGTTTCATAGGGTGGAAGGAGGCAGTGGCTTGGTATTTTTTGAAAGATATTTTGGTCTAGATACTGGAGTTCACCAGGTCTTTTCTGAATCCTCTTCAAGAACCCACCCTGTGAGGTGAATGTTCCCCTCCATGCAGTTACTGTTGTTTTATACCATAAAAAAACCTCGTGGGGTTTTCTAGGCTGTGACCTACAGACGCAGTCCCAGAAGCACAGCAGTCAATGTGGTTGGAGCCTGTCAGCTGCTCTTCAGTAGAGAAGACCTGGCAGTTTGCTCCCAGAGAGATTTTCAGCTTTAAAAAACCCTCCGGGAAAGTTCTCCTGTCTTCTTGGGTCAAAGTAGAGTCACTGTTGATTGAAATTGACTTGATGTTGTTTATAGTCATATGCCGTTGAGTCACCTGTGACTCATAGTGACCCTATGTACAATAGCCCTAAACTCTGCCCTATCCTGTGCCAATCTCACTGTCTCAAACACACCTTCCTCCATTACTCCAGTCACTGAATCCATCTCATCAAGGGTCTTCCTCTCCTGCGCTGTCCCTCCAACTTTCCCAAGCATGACGTCCCTCTCCAAGGACTCGTCCCTCCTTGCAACGTGTCCAAAGTATGTCAGACGAAGCCTCAGAATCCTTGCCTCCAAGGAGCAGCCTGGTTTCCCCCCTCTCTAGGTTGAATCTGTTCGTTTTCTTAGCAGTCCATGGTGTATTCAGTACTCTTCTCCAACACCACAGCTCAAAGGCATCAGTTGTTTTATCATCCCTAGTCATTGTCCAACTCTCTGATGCATAGCAAGAAATTGACTTGTTAGTACACAACAAAAACAGCCGTTATGGAGGTGGATTGCCAGACCTTGCTCATTCAAGTTTATTTTGACTCACAGCAAAGTTCTAATACAAAACTGCCCCTGCAGGGTTTCTTAGGCGACAGCCTTTATAAGAGCAGACCACCAGTTTTCTCTACGGAGCTGCTGAATGGGTCTTTACTGCTAAAAAAAATAAATAAATAAAATTTTAAAAATTCTGTTAGCATTCAGGAGCTTAACCATTGTGCCACTACCCTTTTTCTTTACCTGCAGGTACAGCTTTAGCTTCCCCACAACTCTGGTGACTTCTAACCCAAGGACTGATCCTCCCTTGGGTTCAAACCCTCTAGCCGTTCCAAGGGAGAAAAACGGACAGTTTGCTCCCATGTAATTTACAGACTTTGAAAACCTATCAAGTGAAAACTGGCTCATAGCTGACCCTCCTTTGGGTTGTTGAGACTCTAATGCACAGGAGTAACATCCACTTCCGAAACAGCTTGCCTCCAAAAACACTATGAACTTGGAGAAATGAGGAAAGTTATACAAGTGTTCAGGTCTTTCATAGGGTCACTATGAGTCGTCTACGACTCAACGGCACTTAACAACAACAACAATGCACAGGAGGAGATTGCCCGTCTTTCTCTTACAGAGCTGCGAAACTTTGGATTAGGAGCACAGCACCCTACGAACTAGGCCATCAGAGTTCCCAATATTTATTTCTGTTGGGTGCTGTCAAGTACAAATCCTAGAAACCCCATCCTCAACAGATCTGAGCCCTCTTCTGCACTTTGCCACCCTCACCATCTCTCAGGAACTTGAGCCCATTGCTGTCAGCCCATCTGGCTAAGAGTCTTCCTGTCTTTGACCTTTCCACACATGATGTGTCTCTCCACGGAATAACCCCACCTGACAACACACTCCAAGTATGTGCAACGAAACTGCCATCTTTACCTCTAAGCACTCTGGCGAACCCATTCCTTTCCAATGATAGTCGGTTTCTTTTTCCTTCAGTTGATCAGTTTGTATGCCTGCCACCCTGCCAATATATATATTCCATGGCATGAATTATTAAAACATACTCTTGAAACAAAAATTCATGTAACAATCTGTGACTCTGAGACAAATGCTGATATTTTCCATTTCACTCGTTTGTTGTTCTTAAGGTGCCATCAACTCGACTAGAACTCACGGTGACCCTGTGAACAGCAGATAGGAACCTTGCCGTATCCTGCATCCCTGCACCCGCCTCACAATCTCTGCTGATCTCAAGCCCCATTGCTGCTGTCACTGTGCCAATTCATCTCCTTGAACATCTTTCTCTTTTTCAATGACCCTCTGTCTTTTCAAGCGTGGTGCCTTTTTCCAAGGACTGGTGCTTCCTGACAACATGTCCAAAGTGCAGGAGACAAAGTGCACCATCCTCGCCTCTAAGGAGCTCCATGGTTGCTCTTCCTCCAAGACAGACTTGTCTGTTCATTTGGCAGACCATGGTATATTCCATACTCTTGGCCAACACCACCATTCAAAGATAGCAGTTCTTCCATCTTCCTTATTAATGTCCAACTTTCCCATGAATGTGAAGCAATTGCAAATCCTGTGGATTAGGTCAGGCACACCTTAGTCTTTTAACTGACATCCTTGCTCTTTAGCCCTTTAAAAAGGTCTTTGACAGCAGCTTTACCCAATGCATCATGGCTTTCTATTTCTTGACTTTCACTTCGTAGATATTGATTATGGATCCAGAAAACAGTATATCATTGACAACTCTAGTCTGTTCTCCATTGATCATGAGGTTGCCTCTTGGTCCAGTTATGAGGAAGTTTGTTTACTTGCTGTTGAGATTCAATTCATACTGAAGGCTGGAGTCTTTAATCTTCAGTAAGTCCTTAGAGGTTAAGAATAGTGAAGCTTCATCTCACATAGTTGGATGAGATTGTTAGGAGGCACCAATTTGTACACAAAGACATCATATTGGAAAAAAATAGAGGATTAGAGAAAGAGAGGAAGACCTTCAACAAAATGGATTGGCACAGTGACTGCCTAAATGGACTTGAACATGGCAAAAGTCAGGAAGCTGTCCCAGATACAGCAAGGATTGATTGGTTGTTAAATAAGAGTCATTCTGAGTCATACTCAACTCAAAGGCAACTTGAAAATAGAATTGAATGATAAGTTTTGATCAGTGAGGAGGCAAAGATGATAAATGAGGTTGTGTGTTGTTATTTGCAGTCAAGTCAGACATACTCATAGCTGACCCTTCCAGGTAGGTGTCAGAGGCAGTAAGCTGCATGAGAAGAGGTTGCCCATTTCTCTCCTGTGGAGCAGCTGGAGGATTTAAACTCCATGCATGAGATGAGTTTATGTTTTCATTGGGGTTCCGGAAATTAGGAATATCAGGAAAGAGAGATGAGAAATAGCCATCACGGGAAACGTGATGTGCAGTTAATATAGAAATGGATGTGTGATCTCACTCAGATTATCAGCAGCGCGTTCACTGTTCGTTTTGGCCATTTGATTGGCAGAGCGTTCAGCGTTCCTTTTGGCCATTTTAATATGTTCCTTTTCCTTTGGACTCTTGACCTAGTTCCTGGGAACATTAAAGTGGTACCTTTGTTGAACCTGCTGATCCGTATTATCTGTGCCTCGTTTTCATCCCATTCAGGTTTGCAGTGAGCATTGGCTACTGGCATGACCCTTATATCCAGCACTTTGTGAGACTGTCCAAAGAGAGGAAGGCTCCGGAAATTAACCGAGGCAAGTGACTGCCCTTTCCCATTCCCCATACACCCACACCCACTGAAAGGCCTGAGGCTTTAAAGGTTCCTTGGCATAGTGTTCTAATGCATAACTCAGAGTAGGCTACAAAGTGCTATATAAAAGCATGTAGAGTGCTAATTTCTAAGTATCCTCACCAAACTTTTAATCTTTGTTAACATGATGAAAATGTTATTTTATTGTCATTTTATCCATGAGTGAGACAGAGTATCATTTTTTCCTATTCAGAGATCAGTGACTAGTAGGTACTGTATCTTTTTGTTGCCTTATTGGAGGATTAGTTAATAACTGCTGCTAGGCTTTGTAAGTAATTTTCATCAAGCAAATCAAAGGTTTTAAGACAAGATTTTTCCAGAAAGGTGGAAGAATTTAAGAAACTTGGAAGGTGTCAAAATTAAATGGAATGAGTAAAGATTGACATCCTAGGTATTAGTGTGCTAAGATGGACTGGTATTTGCCACTTTGAATCAGACAATCATATAATCTATTAAGCCTGGAGCAACAAGTAGAGGAAGAATGCTGTGGGAGTCATAGTCAAAAAGAACATTCTAAGATCTATCCTGAAGTACAAAGCCGTAATAGGATACTATGCATACACGTATGAGGGAGAGCTGTTAATAGAACTGTTA